GTGCTCGTTCTTGGGCACTGTGCCCAATTTCATTTGAAAGCGTCGTGTTCAAACTGGGAGCCAAAACAAGTGCCGGGCACCAGTGCCGGGCACCCAGTCTGGACGCAGCCTAAGGAGCTCTAACTCGATCACTGATTTCTTTAGTCTCGCAAGTTATTTTCTTCGTAAACGCCGTACAAACGTTTACCCGCTTCTATTTAATAGTTGTTTTGCTCTTTGTACTGAGCGTAGCCATCTATTCTGTGATGTAGCACCTTATACAGTCAATGACAATGTATAATGGATACACGTTCTAAATAATATCGATGGGCCCTTAATTGAATACCGGTAATGCACAACATAATAGTATTATTGCGTAGAATCTCAAAGGACAAAGATTTTCTCAATATTTACGTCTGAAATGTTTATACATTTGAAAACAACACTGTCGCTCCTTCCTAGCTCTGTATATTAATGAATATACCGTCCACATATATCGTACTTGATTGAAAGACCGTCATGCATAACATAAATTTATATATTGCGTAGATTCTCAAAGATTTACTCAATATTCACGTCTGAAATGTTTAAATTTACACATTTGAAAACAACACTGTCGCTCCTTCCTAGCATCGTGATCTACGGCTTCATAGCGCATGCGCATTTGCCCTGCTATAGAAAAAATCGGGTGTTCCGGGGGGAAAGATCCTTTACACAACATAAGAAGCGAATGTTCTGAAATTACAAAAATTTACAATAACGACAACGATTCCTCGAAATTTTTGTGAACTTGGCAAAAGGACAGAAGAATATTTAAAGAAAATAAATAAAATTGCTTAAATAACCTTCAAAGCACTGACTAAGTACAATAAATCACTGCGAACATAAATCGTATACACCCCCCGGAAAGTTTACTCTATGACTGACTGGGTGACTGATTGCCTGAGCGACTGATTGCCTGACTGACTGATTGCCTGACTGACTGATTCGTGTGAATTTGCCAGCCATCACAACAGTGTGAAGTGAAACTTCACACTAAAAACCAAAAGAAAGTTCTTCGACAACAGCAAGGGTCGTCGAGCACGAGTTTCGCTACGCCGGAATTAAAGAACAATACGACGTCTATCGATTGGTCATGCATGCAGAGAAGTGTCAAAGTGCCTATGACAAAGTGTTTGTCAAAATCATCGATTTGTTTAAGAGTTGTTGTGGTAAGAAGCGATGTGCAGTTGATTGTGATGAACCAGAGACTTGTGTGCAAGATTATATTATATTATCTTAAACATAAGTTTCTGGTTCATCACAATCATATGTCCTGGTGATTTCTCCAAATGGACATTCCGATCATAATTCCATCGTTCTTAAACCTCTTCCAGCTAACTCTTATGGTGGCACAAGGTCTACACGTTTAGCACGAAACTCTCGCCCAATCAATTGTCGAATTATTAGCGATCATCTGTCGAAAGTCAATTGAATCTTGTGACGAACAGTTCCAGTATTTTTCCACCATCGTAGATATTATCATAAACGAACGCTTGCCTTGGAAACAAATCAAAATTGATTCTAGTGACAAGCCTAAATTGGATTACTTCCGAAATAAAATATCTTATTTCCAAGCAGCATGGGCGGCTGGCAACAACCTGACGTTCAGATTCTATCGAAACAAAGTCAATGCACTTTGCAAGAAGGCACGACTAAATTACCACAACAAAAGTATCATATGGTGGTCAGCGGTGAAGAATATTGCCAGTCTTCAGTCTTCTAAGAAAGTATGTACAATAATGTTCGAAGGTAAATCTTACTCTGATTCGGATCTAGCAATCTTCCTCAATGACAAGTTTGTTGCTGTGGGGTCCTCCTTACCCAGTCTGAACTGGCTCTCCCTTCCCACAAATGACATTCCAGATGATTTCTGCATCTCTGTCAGGGAGACTGAAAAGGCTCTGTTATCATCTAAACTTCATTCATCTGCTGGTCCCGATGAAATTCCTTCTTGGCTTCTCCGGGAAAACGCTTCAGCGTTGTGCCGACCTTTGTGTTCCATTTTTAACGCATAAGTTCGCGAAGGGTTTGTTCCCTCCATATGGAAGGCAGCAAATATTACACCAATTGAAAAATCTTCGCCCCTAAAGATGTTGATTCTGACTTCAGACCAATCTCCTCCCTCACACCAATTATCAGCAAGGCTCTTGAATCCTTTCCCTACAAATGGCTTCTTAACTCCGTCTCAAAAAAAATTGAACCGTTGCAATTTGGTTCGCTGAAGGGTTCAAACACTAGTATGGCATTAGTCTACATGCTACATAAATGGTATGAAGCAGCTGACAAACAAGGTAGAGCCATAGGATTGAAGTGAGCGGACGTATATTTAAGTGCTCCGTATAAATATGACCTATACAAACAAATTGTCTTTTGACGGCGAAGTATATCGGTTTATCGGCTTAATACCTGAGTTGAAGCAATTTGTAGACAAATCTCTGGAACTAAAGGAGAAGTGAGCATCTCCTGGTGGCGATATCAAGCTGTTTAATACTGAAAATTCCGAATTTAATATAAAATGGTACGGTCACTCAAAAAAGCTCATAATCCTGGATGATAACGAACAATACTTAAAACGAAAATTGTCGAGCTTAGTGAATACATTCGAATGTGATGAGGTAACAAATGTGAGCAACAGCAGTTCGGTATCAAAGGTCAAGGTATGTGAACATACTGATAACTGTATAAACAGAGATATAATCGCTCAGTTGGAAGGAGTGAAACTCGACTTAAAGACTTTAGAATCTCGACTATTTACTTCGATATCTCAGCAAGAATCTAAGTTTGATGATATCAACTCAATGCACGTTAAGCAGAAGGAGATGGAATCTACTATAAAACAAAAAAAGATGAAGAAGTACATAAGCTTAAGTTAGAAATCCAATATATTAGGTCCAGGTGATCTGGGCGAAAATTTTTAGCCAATCAGCGCACAGCAGGGGCCCCCCAAATAGAAATCCATACCGTGCTGCCGCGCGCGCTTGCAAACTCGAAGAATCTGTAAACCAACCTCGTACCCAGGGCCTTTGCGCGGTTCAGAGGCTCTGGTACGGGAAGCAAAGGCCCTGGTAAACACTGGTTACGTGTGTCCAAAAATATTGGACATTTTTGTAACCTGGCCTTATTAAAGTCATGTCATCCCGGGGGGGGGGGGATTGAAGAACTGAACATTGCAATGGGCGAACTAAATTTTAAAAATATATATATTTTGCCTTTGATTTTTAAAATATGAATGTATAACAAGTGTTTTAAGCCACATGGATTTTGAATGCTATAAAGATGAAAGATCGAATGTTTTATATTCGAGGTACGATTTTATAATGCATATTATATAAAAATTTATATATTCTCATATATTTATCAGTTTATATATCCTAAATTCCAGCCGATTCGTGTCTCTCTGTTTGTATAATTAGTTTTCTTTGTCTAATTATTCCTCTATCTTTCGCTTTTGGATATAGACCCTCCTTCATGCCTAATATATTTTTTTTGTTATCTGCATCCTCCTTCACTAAAATCAAAATCTTTGTTCCAGCTTGCTCAGAAAATATTCAGTCTTTCATAACTGGAGTTCTCTTTGACATGTAAAATCGTCAAGCTGTACCCTCAGTAAAATACTTATTTAAATGAATACATGCAAGAATTACAAATTAACTGCCCTTATTCCAACCATTGGTCTCTGACTCATCCAATAAAAACTTAACAGAATAGTACGATGATAATAGAAAAGTGTGGAAATACCAACCTTACCCGGTACCTAACTTTCTGTATGTGACAAGAAAATTAGATTACATTAATTTTACAGTCCGGTAATGGTCAACATACATTCTACTGGAGAAAATGTACCCCCGCCTCTTGCCATAAAATCTCCATAGCCCCCAATTTTAGTATTTTGCCCATCCAAAGGAGAGTCTTAAACACCAATGGGATAATCAAATATGGCATACTTTGTTATTTTTCTCTGTCCAACACCAGACAATTTTACTTGTCAAGGGCACTATTAGATCAGTGGTCAAGGGTAAGGTTAAGTGAATAATAAAAAGTGGCTGGATATTCTATACTTGCTCCATATAATTGGTAGTAACCAGTATTAACTTACTACATCCCTATTATTTACCTTAGTTGCGATCTTGAGCAGTTGTGCTGTTACTAATACAGCAGAATGTGGTTTCAAATGACTGTCATTTTATTGCAATGACATTCCAATAAGACATTTGCTGTTTGTCTCTGTTTTAGAATAAGATAAAAAAGGTGGTTGCAAGTATTCAGATCCTGGAGTGCTGTGAAATGGCCTTAACCTTGGGCAATTAAGTAATATGAGTGGTGTGATAGGAAATTTTTGATTCATTTGATTGACTATAAATAAAATTAGAATGGTGAGAATAATGATGATGATGCTAGTGAAATACAAGTTGTGGTGATACTGGTGATGCACAAGATAATGAAAATATATTGTACATACCAATTGTAATGAGACATAAATAATAAAGAGATTGGCAGTAATGAATGTGTATGACTTGATCAATTGTGCTGGTGAGAAGGCAGAACCTGCATGGGTGCAGGGATGGATCCAGCATGATCTGGTAGGGGGGGGGGGAGGGTGCTCTGGGGCCGACTGCAGAGTTCATATGTGCTGCCCGCCCATCAACAAACTACTGTATTTGAATTGTAGTTGTTGTTCACAGTTCACTTATCATGTTATTACTCAAATTACTGTTGTTGTTATTACTCAAATCTCATGTTGTCTTTTTTGCTTTATCATAAAAAATAGCACCCCCTGCACACCCTCTGGCAAGGGCTAGGGGTCCACAACCCCAGTAAAAATCCATCCCGGCATGGCTGCATTCTCGGTTATATTGTGTGATATTGCCATGGGTGAATGCCAATATATTGCCATCTAGATGAAGTCCCTGAAGTCTTCTAATATTTTTCATATTTCAAGACCACTGGATATTATTTCTCATGATTGGTACCCCCACTTACCCCCTTCTTCCAGACAATGAGAAATAAACATCCAAAAAAATAAATATGAAATTATTAACTCACACACAAAGGTTTCAAGATACTATGTATAATTTCATTCACAACTGTATTTTAAACTACATACATGCGGAAACCAACCTGTCAGTCACTGTCAAAATATTCTGCTTTGATAACTAAATACATGTGTACATATGAAGAATTTCGTTTCCATATATGTCCCTTTCACTATACAGGCACATATTTACTTGAGTATATATGTATCCTTCCATGAAAGTACAATAAAATCCCAAGTGATATTCTTTGGTCAATACGTAAAAATTACTTACAATCATTATTAATCAACAATGTTTATTTAATTCTTTATAAAAGGTCGCACACAAGCAGCTGCATGGATACAAAATAGACAGTTTACACTCGACTAGTTTTCTCTCAGTTTGATCCTCGATCTTTGATAAGTATTACCGTTCGCTATTCCACAATTTGTTGAAAGAAAGCTCGTAGAATGCATAGTTTTAATATGTACCCACTTTAAATCTCACTAGGAAAGTTTTATTTATCGTAAACTAATAAAACTCGAAAACGTCGCGCCTTCCGCTGCCATGTTTGACAAAATCAATCGGCTCCGCTCCCCCCGGATTGAAAACTAAATTATTACGAAATGTCCAATATTTTTGGACACACGTGACCAGTGTTTACCAGGGCCTTTGCTTCCCGTACCAGAGCCTCTGAACCGCGCAAAGGCCCTGGGTA